ACATACAAACTATCTTATAAATTCCCCAAGTTAATCCTATCTTTTAAAACAAAATTCATATAATGTCCTAAGTATTAAAAAACTTGATAAATGATRAATAACTAATTTATCTGTTTCAGGCTGAATTATATAATTATATGTATATATATATTTTTATAATTATATATTTTTATAATTATATAATAGTATATTATATATTTATATATAGTATATAATTATATAATATAGTGTCCTAAGTAATATTGATCAATCTTTTAATTTGTTTCAGGCTGAATTAAAAGCTCGAGGTGACTGGTGTAAGCCTGGCGATGAACATCCACCTGCAACTTATTATCACAGAGACAATCTTGATTGTTCATCGGCAGGAAGTTATGGTCTAAACTTAACAGTGACTCTCCTAATCGTTTATTTATCATTCGTCGTTAGATGATATGACGTTGTCGAATTTAGTAAGATTTTTTTACAACCATCTGACTTGATAAAACGGCAACGCATTTACGATAATACATCATCGTAATTGCGTTATACGTTTAAAAATCACTATGTTCTATAAAATATACATATAAATACATAAACGCGCGCGCGAACAGAATATTAAACAATTGTACACCATTTTTAACCTCGTCGCATTTTCTAAACCACACACGAAACACAAATTTTCATCTACAATTATATGAGAAAGAAAAAAAAAAAAAAAAAACAAGAAAAAAAATACATTCTTCATAATTATTCATTTTTTAGCTCTCGAGTATTACGGGTAATAAAAAAAAACACACAAGAAAAAATACTTTTCAGTCCGATAATATTTTGATGCATTAATTATTCTTTAAAAAAAAAAAAATAAAATAAAAAAATCCTTACAATTTTTCTTTCGCGAAGAGAGCGAAAAATTTTATCAATTCGTTTAAATCGATATTATTGTTGCTAATTTTATTTTCCAATGGATCATCATTAAAAATCCTATAGCATTATTTTTATGCGAAAAATATATAAATATATAAATATACATATATATATATATATATAAATACCATTATTATTAAAAAATTGGATATATCTTGAAAAAAAAATATTAAACAACAGAAACGCGAATGATTATTCGTAACGATAGGAGCGTCACAAAATAAAATTAACATTCAATACTTCGTAAATTAACACATTCCCGTTAAATCTTTAAATAACGAAGTTAAATTCATACACACTCACACATGTCTGTATAATAATCTTCGTTGTACAATGATTTTATTCATTTTTACGCTTAACATTTAAACTTGTAAGTGAGAAAAACAATGAGTCATATCGAAGTGTTTTTTAAAAAAAGACATGTAGAAGGTTTAAGGATGATGATCATGATGATAATGATGATGATGATGATGATGATAAAACGATAGGAAAAAAAGTGACGTGTGTCCAACGTTCTTACGTATTTATGTATTATACCTACACACATATATACATAAATATGTTCGACAAATTTAATGGGAGTCACACAGGGTCGATGGTTCGACAATATTTAATTAAAAAAATCGACATCCAAATGAACATCTCTAAGCGAGTTAATACGATAAGCTGTAAATAATTTTACGAAAATAAACAAGATAAAAAAAAGGTATTGAATAAAATAAAACAAATATAAATACATATAACAGAAGATAAATTTTTATGCGTATAAAAAAAAAAAAAAAAAAAAAGAGATACGAAAGCTTGTGTATTAAAAACGAAAAAAAAAAAAAACGAAAAAGAAAAAAAAAAAAAAAAAAACCAAGAAAAAAGAAAGAATGGTGATGAAAGAGAAAAGAAAATAACGAGACGTAATTAATTATCATAAATGTATTAAAAACCATGATGTTTCAATTTCGTTTTTATTCTAAACACGTAGAGACTATAATAATATTAATAATAATAATAATAATATTAATATTAATAGTAATAGTTATAATAATCGATCTTAGAAGATCGTGTGTACGTATTCTAATCGCTTCGATAAAATCACACATTTGTGTTTTGCCATTTTAAATGCAAATCTTAGCATCGAAGCCATCTTCTTTCGATACACATTCCAAATAAAAAACAAAAAAAAAAAGAATAAAACAAACAAAAAACAAACAAAAACATTGAAATAGAAAAAAAGGTATGAATTATAGTTTAATTAATTACGATTAAATAAATTAATCGGAAATAGTAAATGAATTTTATACAACACAACCGAATGACAGATGTTAAGGATAGTCGAAGAAACGTCGAATTATCTTGTATAGATAAAAAAAGACATTTTTAATCTATACTTTTGTACAGATACTATTAATGTTTAAATAAGTAGTTTACTGTATTAAATAATTCAAAGCGTTTAATATTGCGAATGTAAGAAGAACGTCTATATGCTCCAAGTGTATGCGAGTACGTTTGTGTATCCGTATGCGTGTGTGTGTGTGTATGCATGTGCGGGGGCGTAAAAAAAACATATGTTTCTAATCTTTTGAACGTACTATTGTGAGATCGTATCTTAATTTCGGCCATCGTGATGTATACAATTTTTATTCGATACATGAAAAAATAAAGAGGAAATAAAAATAAAATCTATGAGTTTGACATATATCATAATAATAATAATAGTAATAATTAATATCGGTCCGATTTTGAACAAAAAAAATTGTCGCGTGTTCTAAATTAATGTTTCGAAATTTTCTAATCCACTTTTACACAAATATTCAATTCAATACATTTTATTATTACAATGAATCACATTCTAATATAAATAATTTTTGAAACAAACACGACTGGGTAATTTTAAATAATAAATAAATAAATAAATAAATAAATGAAAGAATAAAAGAGAAACAAGATTGCGAATGTTTTCAATGATTCTAATTAATTATCATCATTCCAAGTATGCAGGGTAATCATTGTCATCGTCGATTACTTCGGATTACAAATTCGATTAGCGACAGCTCGTATTAATTATATAAATATACATGTATAAAAAACATATATATGTGTGTGTGTTATATGAACATACGAAGTTCACGTCCTATCGATAATCTCCGTCTCTTTGAGTACTATGTGCCATCCCTGTAAGAAAGTAAATTATTATTAAAAATCCTGTAACGATAAGTAACGGGGACCGAACTTGTTTCTTTTCGTTGTTATAAATATGAAATGTTGTATGTACGTTTATCTGTTGATGATAAATTATCAAAAATCGTCTAATAATTATATGACCTATTAAACAAGAAAAAAAAAGAACAAGAAAGAGGATAATAAATGTACAGGAAAAGAATAATGAATTTAATTACGCCAGCAAATCTATTAAACCGTTTCCGTAGATTATTTTTAAGACGATTTTTTGCAAAACAAGAAAACAAGAAAAATTACATGAAAAAAAAAAAAAAAGATAAAGTTAAATTATGAGATAAAAATTGAGATGGTTGTGAGTGTTGTTGCATTTTTCTCGATAATTCTATCTTCTTATACGAAGATCGTCCGGATATCTTTTTATCTATTTCACAAGTTAAAAAAAAAAAAAAAGAAAATAAGGATTGTATATATACGTAAAAAAACAGTTAATTTTTCTACTGTCGGTAGAATTTTATTCAAAAAGAATTATATTTTTGCTTACACGCGTGAGTGTATTGTAATTGAAAGATATTCAATTTTGTCCTTAAAATGAAACAAACGAATTTCATATCAGAAAAAATTTCACCACAGCGGAAAATTTAACTGTATCTACGATATTCCGGACGTAAAAATGAATTTCTTAGAACGTAAGAGCGATGTCATTTGAAAACAAAATACAATAAAAAAGAAAGGTACTCGTTAAATGCTATTGGATTGTCGTATTCTTTTTGTTCTTCTTGCAAATTTTCGCCAATGAGAAAAATGTATAAACGGAATTGTAAACGCAATCTCTCTGATTCCTCTGATTATTCTGTTTTTATGACACGATAAAGATGTATACAAGATAATAAACGTTTAAATCTTTAGAATGTTCTTGTTTGTCAATTATAAATCTCCATATTTGAATATTGTCCATGTAAAAATAATTAACATTTAAATGAAATCAATTTTAGTTTATATACAAAAATGAAAAATTCATTTTTAAAATAATGGAATATTAATATGATTCAATAATACCTATATTTGTTTATTCATTTTGCAAACCTACAATGCAATCTAATAAACAAAAATTCCAATTAAAAATTTGCCTTAAAAGAATTATAAAACAAAATCATCCAATGCGATATGTTGAGCTTAAGCCATTCATTTTTATGATCATAATCTTTACCAAATGTTAAAATATAATAATACAGGACTCATTCCAAATATCAGTTTTATACACGAGCTGATTGTTTTAAAAAACCAAACTATACAGAAGTACCTAGAAGCTCAAAAATCTCCTTTTTTATCAACTCAGATTTATCTTAGTTACTACCTGAACCACCAGTAAGGTACTTAACGCAATAACGATACAATACTATCAAAGAATACAGTATCCATAAAGTTTAATTTAATTTAAAGATCACTTATATCTTTTTACTTCAAGTAAAGGAAATCTTAACGCATGATTTTCAAATAAATTACAAAAATGTGCACTGTTCCGCAGTGCATTATCTAAAATTTTGTGCCTAATTGATTGTTGATTACACACACACAACTTGGTGTATTTTAAGATATAATATTATTCATAGATTTTAACTACCATTAAAACACAAATTGCAAACAATTGAATAGAATCTTGCCAATATCAATGACCCTAAAACAAAAATTAATTTTATATATAACAATATATAACTTATATATAATTTTTATTCATTTATTTTCATATCATAAATAATAGTATTACAGATCTTGAGATACTATTGTAGAAATTGTTGTAAATATCCATTGATAAAATGGTATTTTACAATATTAAATCTTAGAGCTTGAAAAGACAGTACCTTCTGTAACAAAAAACTAGATGAAAAGGGCATGTGTGGAAAAATGAAATTCGGTATGCAATCCGCAACCAAAACTTTTCAATTTAAATTATTTCATGAATAATGAAATTTAAAGAGAAAATAATTTAAATGACCAAAAAGTTGACATTTAAAAATACCGAATTCTCGATGCATTAAAAAATGTGTTTTTTTTATATTTAAACACAAGTTAATATGAAAAAATGCATATCTYTGATGCATGCTTTTTTCAATATACAAATATATGAATAGAAAAATGTTTCAATTTCATATAAAATTATTAATCCATTAATACAATTACAAATACACATAGGAAATTATTCAAGACACATTATGAAAAACTTAAATAATTATGAATATATCACAATATTTAAAAATTAATAAACACCGTTTTCAAAATAAAAAAATAAACAATATTGCACCTTGCGTCGTATTACAAAATGCATACGCAATTATGTATATTACCATAACAATAACCATAACGAGATCAAATCTATGTTTGATCGATAGAGTACATAAATCTTTTATTTAATTACATTTATATTAACGCGAAGTATGCAGTTACATCGACGAGTGTCTAATGTACATATTACACCACTTAAATATATACAAGACACTTTTTTATTTTTAGTAAACTATAAAAAAACCAAAAAATAGTAATACAATTTCACAATTATCGAAGCACGTATTTTAAATAAATATGAATTCAAGTGTATACAATGCAAT